TGAAATTACGTCAGAATACTTGTGCACTATTTAGATCACTATGAATTCGCATCTCGGTTGATGCTTGAGAACACCCTTAATATTAATACTTGAATTCAGATTTATCTAAAGATCTAGATTTAGTCATTAGATCCGTATAGGCCTAATAATACATAACGCTAAAATAGATATTAAAAATAGGGGTAAACCGTACTGCACAAATAATAATTATACAGACTAATGTGGTTAAGAAGATAAACAGCTTAATTAAATATTTAGATAAATTAAACCAATAAATAATCGCTAAACTTAGAGACTAAGGGTGCACTAAATGTGATAACTAGAAGCGATCTTCACTGTAATTTTGCTAAAGATTCATATCACAAAGTGCGGATAATAAATTTTAGTAAATCAGAACACGTTTCATCAAGATAATGAACTTTACTTACCGGTTAAACTACTTCCCACAATCTAGCAATTGAGCTTCGACCTATTAATATGTGCTGAGAGAATTTTAAATCAATATGAATAAAAATTAATATATTAATTGATATAATTGATATAATGTTCAATTGATTAAATAAGAAAATATATCATGTGAAAACCTGATATTAGAGCTTGGATCCAGTAGATAATGACCATCCACTTAGTCTATTTTTTGGATAGTTGCGAATTTCGGATATTCGCTTGTAAATTATCCAACTAAATCCGTTGAATTAATCAAAATATAGTCGATTCTAGATATAATAAACTTTTTATAACAAATAAGCTAAATAGAAAATTTTGTCTAACTTAATGAATTTTTACTATAGAAAAAATATATACACCTTTATGCTGATTTTGTCTTTTATTCAAATCGATTCAGCTAATAAATGCAACAAATATTTATTTAACTATGTATATTAGAGAGTGGAATCGGTGAATAATTATTCGGGCACCGATAGAAAATTTCGAGCATCGAAATAAACTTCATTCATTGAGTTTTTAATTCGGTCAATCTTCGAGCATCGGTCAAAATTAAAATTTAACTATTGTTTTGATAGCAATAGCAGTAGAATTGATAAATTTGATACAGTACAATTGATAAATTTAAAAACGTAGCAATAGCAGTACAATTGATAAATTAAATGTTACACGAATTTTTTTATGTTTTTACCGATGCTCGAAATTCTAGGTTTGTGGTAAACCAATGCTTGAGACTCATCGATTCCACTCTCTAATGTATATCATTAATTTCATATTCTTGCGCTAAAATATTTAAATAAATAAATGCTTCCTATTAACTTCCTTATCGCCTATTAGATTTAATATAACTGATGAATATAACGATTTTATAGTAATTTGCTAAAAAATTATCATTATGCACAAATTGTTAATTTTAAATTTTAGCCTTATCTGAACTTAAGGGTAGAGTATATGTAGATCATTTTCATATTACAAATTATGATATCAATATATAAAAAAACTTATGCGACATAAAATATCTAAATAAATTATATCAAAGCGAGTATATAACAATAAAACATCATCAAAATCTTGCCTAATATTTATTTTATTAAAACAAATTAGAAACCCTATATTGAGATATTAAAAAAATTTAAGTATAAAGTTACGAGTGATAAACGTATTTGGCGAGTGTTCAATTTCATTCTAGAATGTTTGTGTTCAGCATTCTGGAAAATAATGTGATTTATCATGTGATAGACTCCTTATGTACGTTGGTAATTATCGCACCCTTTTATTATATAATTTATTACATGATGTAATAAATTATATAATAAAAAGACGTGACAATTATATCGATCAACTTCATTCAACAATTCCTCCACTATTAGAAAGAACAAAAATTTACTTTTAGGTTTCAGGGCTTAAAAGAATTTGCCAAATTTTGGTAATTTCTTAGGTTTCACCTATAGTTGTTAGACGAATTTGCGAAACGAAACACGAAATCTAATTTCGTCTTTGTCAATTAAAATTTTAGATGACGAAATGACGAAACTGACGAAACTGTAAAGGGTGACAAAACTAATAAAAGACGAACATACAAATAAATGTTGAAAATCATTGAAGATTATGTGTATAAAAAAAATAAACAGACAGAAATTTATAAAAATTACAAAAAATTTTATTGTATAATAGACGCTTAAATCTTAAAGGGAATTAGAAATGAGTATTCTATATTGTATTATACATCGGAAACTGAACTTTGAATGTTAATTCAATGAAAGTAACTTTTTAGTTTTTTTTTTTAGTGGGAGCACTAGTGTTTCGTCTTTCGTCATATGAATTTAGGGTTTCGACTTTGAGAAAAAAGTTTCGTCTAACAACTAAAGTTACACCAGTTTCGCTCCAAGTTATAAATTTTATGAAATATAATTTATGCCAATTCATGCAATCATTAATTAATCAATCAAATTAAAGCAATTTTACATACAGTAAAACTTCTATAAGTGCTCACTCTATAAGTGCTCACCCTCTCTAAATGCATGCTCAAGTTCTGGCCCAAATATATACGTGCCTTCTATAAATGCACTTTTCTTATTGAACTTTAAGCACACATTGTTAAAGCTTGGTCCCTAGGGCGTGCACTTATAGAAGTTTTACTGAAGTTTTGCTATATTAATAACTTAGACACACTTCTAAGGTATGCCAATGTTCCCAGCTTTATTTAGAAGTTTCGCCCGCAACAAAAATATATTGATTCTTATTTTTTTTAGTCCTTCTTTTTTTCGTGTTTTTCTGTGAAGATGAGTAATGTGATGGCGATCCGACAGTACTTATTGATGAATCAACTGACATAGCTGATGATGTTGAAATAGTCGATATTACCTCCATAGTATCATCAGGGCCATACAGCATTTTAGATATAGTACACGCAATTGCCGTTCTAAAAGCAAGTAGGTTATGGATAAGAGAATAAACATCTTTTGGTTTTGCTGATAGGATGTTTAAGGGGATTTTTACTTTGTTGAGCAACCAGACTCTATATAGGCCAAATTCTTTACACATAGAGCGGAATTCTACCACATCACCAGCGATATTAATTGTAAATATTGATAGATAATCCAACTCTAAATCTCCATATACTCTTTTGTTTCTCTGTGATTTAATTGTATCAATGGAATCTTTACAAAACCTGTTTAGCTTTTTGTGGTCTTGTATTTGTTTATCAGAAGAAGACTTTGGACGTCCCGTTTCAAGGTATCCAATTTCAACTTCCTTGCTATTTACTTTAGTAATAACCATATAATCGGGGCGTCTTGCTCGTTGACAAGATCCCTTTCTCACTGCGCTTGCTGAACTAGCCTTTTCTCCCCTTTGAATTTAAAAATATAATATTAGTATTATGTCAAGAATTCTAAGCAACTGAAACACATTATAGTAAAACCTCTATTAGTGCACTCTCTATAAGTGCGCACCCTCTCTGAATGCACGCTCAAGTTCTGGCCCAAATATATACAGTAAAACCTCCATAAGTACACCCTCTATAAATGCACACCCTCTCTAAATGCATGCTCAAGTTCTGGCCCAAATATATACATGCCGTCTATAAATGCACTTTCTCTTATTGATCTCTAAGTGCACGTTAGTCCCAAGGGCGTGTACTGTACATATAAAGGTTTTACTGTATAATATTTTATAGAAACCACCCATACGTACCATACCCCCCATATATCTAAATCTACTGGCATATCACACATTATAATATTTATTAATGGTGATAAAACATCACACACATACGATCCTTCGTTTATGTTGGATGGTTTTGTCGCCTTCCACTTAGGCGAACTATAAACCTGACTTAAAACTCTTAACATTTGATTTGTTAATTCTTGCAATTTCTCAGGCTTATCTAAAAATTCACCAAATACTGCATTACCGAAGTTTTGAGGAGGGTTGAGATACTTTTCATTTTCTTTTTGAACAAACTCCACGCAAATATTTTTCAATTCAGTACTTTCCGGCAATTCGAATTTTTTACATGGCTTTTTAAAGGTTTTTAAAAAATCCTTCGATATAGTAGTAAATGGTTCCAAACTATCGTCTAAAATTCCTGAACATAATGGATGGTCATATCCTAATTTCTCCACATTTATCTTGTTTAACTCCATTTCTACAGCTTGCCACATGTCCTTTTCTTTATCCGAATTCGATTCCAATAATGCTAATTTATGCACTTCATTTTTTAATATCTCGAAGTTTTTTTTCGCATCAACGATCCAGAGCGGTTCTACATCCTATGAATATAAAAAATTAAATTAGCTATTTGTGATAGAACTAGTAATGCGAATTTTTCAAAACAGCTGGTAGATGCTAGCACATGATTAGTATCTAACAATAAAGTCTACCCTTACACATTATTGACCTAACGGTAACTAACGAATCTACTGGTAGATACCAATCATAGATACCAGCTTGATAAACCTAATTATAGTTATATTCCTCTATAATTATCTATATGGGGCGTTGCATATTAAAAGGACCATTTAATATATAGCAATTTTGTATAAGACGATTTACGAATAAAACCATAAATTTTCAACTTAAAGTTCAGTTTGTAAATCTTTTTATTATAATAATTTATAGCAAACTTTTTTTATTTAATAGATATTTATTCAAGAATTAAATAAAAAATTTTTTGAAAATTGTCAAAATGGGCCCTTTTAACTCGAGGCACCCAGATATAATATAATATATAAAGGGTTGTTAATTAGTATTTTTCTAATTCATACGATCTTAAATATGAAATTATAGAGGATAACTATACAGTAAAACCTCTATAAGTGCACATCCTCTCTAAATGCATGCTCAAGTTCTGGCCCAAACATATACGTGCCTTCTATAAATACATTTTCTCTAAGCTTGGTCCCAAGGGCGTGCACTTATAGAGGTTTTACTGTACTTGGAATTTTTTAAATTTAGTCAAACAAACGTACCAAAATATCCAATTCTAATGAAGAGCGAATGTAGCCAACTGCATCCGATATCTAAAAATAAGAATAAATTAATAGATATACGCCAACTATATAGTAGTAAACACATGTACATGCGATCAAATTGGTTTTCATTTTTCATATTAATTTCAATATAGGCCAGCCAGTGAGAAAGATATACCTCAGAAAGAATTTTGCATATGGCGTTTAATGCATATAAATAGCTACTCCCGACGTCCCCACGTTATTACTCGAAAAGACAAAGTACATTCACTATTCATATACCACCTTATACATCATCTACTTCGGTAATGAGGAGAAATAGAAAATTTGAACCGCATTCCTTTTTAATATCCCTTAATTTTTTTCCAAACCTCCCCATAAGAAAACCAATATTTCATCATATCTAATTAATTCTAAACTAATAATAAAGACAATAACTTACACGTTGTTTTAAAAGATTATCATCTCTAAAATCAAGAAGCTTATTCAATCTCTCAGCGTTTTTTACATGTACCAATGATCTGTCGAGAGTCTCTATAAAATTTTGTACTTCAAGGTCTTCATTATCTGTCCATTCATCTGTCTCAACACGCTTGCATAAAGCAGTAAAGATAGTAATAGCAGAAATAGGTTCGAATTCAACAAAGAAAGATTCCATTTTTAATTTGAGAAATAGAAAACGCGGTATAAAAAAAGTTATCAAAATATGTAAAATTTGTTAATGAACGAGAAAAAACACTAAGAAATTTTTACATCGGAATACTGCCCTTTATAAATTGCACATTATCTGAATTCGGCACATTAGCGAAAGAGATCCATATGCAAATTTTGTGCTTTGACATTATACTATGTAAAAGACAAGGTACTCTAAACAATGTAGAATGCATATTGAAGATCTCGGTACTTATACATAACAGCGTTAGAGATTAGGTATATACATACATAATCTATTGAGTATTCGTGTTCACAGAATTCCATATTTTCGCATCAATAATAAAGCCAAAATACTCCAATTGAAACGACATATTTCTGACAGCTAAAACAATTGAATTAACTGTTAATTAAAAAAACATTAATAATTATATTGAGTATTTATTAATAAACTAAAAGCAAACCGCGATCTACAATCTTAAAGGTCGAAAGTATAGGAATGTACTTCGACGAAGTGGCACCACTCTAAATCAATAACTTGAGAATAAATTAACTAAAGCTTTAAATATGCGTTAGATATTGTTGAAAATCACAAATCAGGCGAAATAAGCTAACTTTTACAACGAAAAGCAGAAAAGAGTAAAAGTGTTGAAATTTGCCTACTGGTGTCTAATTTAGCTTCACTTCATGTCGATTAACACGTGAGCATTAACCAATAAAATAATAAAATTTGTATTCAAAAGAAATTCAAACTTTAACAAAAGAGTAATACTCAAAATAATGAGCATTTGCAGTTTATTTAACTACCTGCAAGTTATTTCAAATACATACATGTGCATATTTTTGAAAATGTCTACTTGTGCATTATTTCGAAAATAGAGGGTCAAAATCTTGAACTCGCTACATACACAAGATTATATATATTGCACGACTTCTTGCAAACCATGTGACAAATTCATTTCATTAAAATTTTTAATCAAAATTGATCAAATAATTTATCTCGCGAGAGAAATGACACAATTTCGCATAGGTTATACAAATCATGAGTATAATAACTGCGATTTGGCACGATATCTAAAACCAGTTTTAAAAATAAAACTTATTCTACACTATATACAGGTGTTTACTTACACCTAATATTATATTATTAGTTAGTATAAATTGTACATATATAGAAACAATTCACATTTTTGACATTTTTGTCAGTTTGCATAATATATTGATATATATATATATAAATATACATATTTGCATAATGAATAAATAGTATAATTATAATATAAGGAAGCAACTCTTTCTGACGATCACTTGGACCAAATTTTCTGACGAAAAGAAAAGCCTATTTTCGATACTGGAGAGTAGTAACCTGTAGTGAGGTGAATCAACAGAGCAGTTTTTATAAAGGTTAACCTTTTTGCTATCTCGGGAACTCCTTTATATATTCGACATGCAAGCCAAAAGCGTCTGTATACAAGATAACTGGCAGAAGATGGTGCTTTCATATACAAAATTTTGGTAGATAGGTGAAGGTGATAAAAGTCCAAGCCTACCATCAACGAAGCTATCAGTTGTGAAACAACTAGAGAATAGTAAAGAACAGGCTTCTTTTAAGCCGCACTCCTTTTTATTAACCAAGTGGTACCTACTATCCTTTTTCCGCTTCCCTGCCTTTCTTCCAAAATTTTTCGACAAAAAGTGGAGATTTGGCTTACCCCTCCAAAAGATTGGCATTGTTTACTTCCCAAATTCGGACAGACTAGTAAATTGTAACCACGTGTTTGTTTATGAATAGATATGGTGCTACTGCATGGGACTTGGCCCGGGAACTCTAATTATGGCAGAAGGAAGCCTTGATATAGATCCTCGAACAATGGAGCCATCTGAACTTGGTGGGAAGGTCAGAAAAAAAATTTTAATGCCAAGGTGGAGCTTTACCTTTACAAAAGAGATATACAAATGTTGCATTTGTTATATAATTTTTACCAACCTCACATGAGTTATAATAGTGCCTTTAGAGTCTTAGTTTTCTTTTCATGTTTTTTCTTTTTCGAAATCTGTGTTTATTTTTTCTTT